TGTCACGGGCTTGGCTTTGATGGCAGGGGGTGGGGTGGCCAAGCCGGCTGGAACCGTAGGGCCACGATGCTTGGGCCGCGATGATGTACGTCTCGCACAGAGCATTCTCTGCCTTCTGACCAGAGCCCACACACAGTCAGACTGAGCTGGACGGGGACAAACGCCAAGTCCTCGGGGCAAACTGAAGTCCCAAAGCTGGCAGGGGCCAGGACAGCCTCAGGGCCCGAGCTCAGGTGCCCTGGACAGCAGCGGGTCCAGGGCAGGGGTGGCTGGCCGGGCTGCTGGGCTGGAGCCAAAGTGCAGGGAAGTGGACTCAACCCAGAGGAGGGAGGAGGAGCACTGTGCCTGAACAGGATGTGGATGAGGACGGCCGCGGGAGTCAGGGCTGAGACAACAGGGGTCCTCCCCGTTCCTCCGCTTTCCTCACTGGGGTGGGCCCAGGCTCCCTGAAGCCGGGAGGAGGGCAGCTGTGGGCCAGTGGGTTAAGTCGCTCTCCATAACCCCCCTACTCTCGTGTGAAGTCTTGGGGTGACGCGGCACCTCTATTCTGGGATTCTAAGTGGCAGCCGTGGGTGCCATTTCGTGGAGGCACTTCCAGGAAGCTGCGGCGTGGGGAGGCAGGGTGGTCCCCTGCTGGGAGGTGGGGTGTGCCATCCTCCCCCAGGAGCGGCACCCCGACCTGTGAGGCAGCTCCCCACGCTGTCTCTGGCAGCTCCCCAGAAAACATGGCTCCTCCCTCCATGTCCGGGTCCTGGCGCTGACGGAGCGTTGGGGGAGCTGGACGGTCTCAGGGCCCCACTGGCAGGGCCAGGCTGCACCAGACACCCGGCTGGGTCTTCCTTTCGGGGCCTGCGGGTAGCCCTTGGCGCCCGGGCACCTCCCCCAACGCGACCTTCCCCTCTCTCTCCCTCTCATGGTCCCTCCGTATGCTGTGTCCCAGGGCTGAGACTGTCCCCTTACTTCCTACTCTTAGTGTCCAAAAAGTGTTGGTTTCATTTAATAACTTAACATCTAATATTTATTCTTTATATGCTTGAATTTTACCCCCCAACCCTCTTTTTCTTGGGTCACACACCCGGCATTGCACAGGGGTTACTCCTCACTCATGCACGCAGGAATTACTCCTGGTGGTGCTGGGGCGCGGGGGGAGGGGGGGACCATATGGGATGCTGAGAATTAAACCCGGGTTGGCCGTGTGCAAGGCAAATGCCCTACCCGCTGTGCTATTGCTCATAACCAGGAATAGATTTTATGCTCACCCTAAAGTGTAAAAGAACTCCCTTTTGCTTACATCTCTAGGACCTGATTTTCAGGACCAGGGGTGAGGCTCCATGGTAGTGAGAAGGGCTGGGGGTGGGGAGAGGAGGGGTGAGGAGAGGAGGGAAAGGGAGGGAAAGGAAAGGAAAGGGAAGGGAAGAGTTAGCAAAGAAGATTGGAGCAAATACCCCAGATGCCTGCTAAAGCTGAGTTTCCGGCAGAATATATAAGCTCGAGGCGGCTTTCTCGTTTCTGCCAAAGTTTGTTTTTCTTTCCCTGTTAGAAAAGAATGCCAACGCCAGCTCATTCCTGGGTGCCTCTGCTAGTTCCTTTTTCAGAGATGTCTGGGTTGTTACAAATGAATTGTTTTTGTTTTTCTGAATAACAAAAGGGTATTCAAAGTTTCATCTGTGGGTTGAATTGTAAAGATAACTGTAAGGTACTGGGAAATGAAGGAAACTGTATGCTGTGTGAACTTCCTCCTACTATTTAAGCAACTATTTAAGTTGTGTTGGATGAGGGTGGCAAGGGCGTTAGTACAGCCGGTAGGGCACTTGCCTTGAACTCGGCCCACCTGGGTTCTATTCCCGGCATCCAATATGGTCCCCCGAGCCTGCCAGGAGTGATTCCTGAACACAGAGCCAGGAGTAAGCCCAAAGCATCACCAGATGTGGCCCCCAAACAAAACAAAAGGATGTATTGGATGATTTCATTGGCAAGATAAGGACACAGCTGGGGCCGGAGAGAAAGCACAGCTGGTCAGGCACTTGCTTTGCATGTGGCCCACCTGGGTTTAATCCCCAGCCTCCCAGATGGTCCCCTGACACCACCAGCAGTGATGCCTGAGTGTAGAGCCAGGAATAACCAGGTATTCCCTCACAACACACACACACACACAACAACAACAACACGGGCACAGCCATGCTCGAGACCGGTTTGGCAGCCTGTTATAAAACAAATCCTGCACCACCCCAGGGTCCAGCAAGGCACAGGGTCCAGCAAGGCACGGCTGAGCATCGATCCCAGGGAAGATCAAGGCTCCCCCCACACCCAGCAAGTGACCACTGTGGCTGGCATCCCTGAGGACAGCAGCCATCACAGGTGTGAGTGGCGGAGCGCTGAGGCAGGCAGGAGAAGCCGCCAGGCAGAGGAAGCAGCGCTGGAGGCAGGGCCCAGCTGGAGTGAGTCTTCGGGAAGCACGCTGGGCGATTGGCCCCAAAGACTCTCCCCGCAGGAGCCCACTGATGAGACCTTCTAGAAACGAAGAGCAAGGGCAGCAGAAACAAGAGCTGGTTTAGGGGTTGCCAGGCGGGCAGGGGCGGGGGTGGCTGTGTAAGGTCTGCAGAGGATGCAGGGAGGGTTGTCTTTTTAAAAAATATATATTTTATAGATTTAGTTCACAATATTTGATTGCATGTAATATTCAAACACCAATCCTACCACCACGACACCTTCCCACCATTGTATTTTGGATGGTTCCATCCCGAACCCCAACCCCTGCCCCAGAGCAGAACTGAAATAATTTATCTTGCATTGTTGGTTATGAAAAACCACTGAAAATACTCCAAAAACATTTCCTGGGAGGAAAGAAGTGTGAAGATTGGTGTGTTTCACACAGGGGCCATTCAGCTCTTGTATGAGATCACTAACAAGTTGTTAAAGGTTGAGCTTTGTGTTTATCTATACATATACACACACATATAAATAGCGCTGTAGCACTGTCTTCATCGATTTGTTTGAGCAGTCCCAGTAACGTGTCCATTGTGAGTCTTGTTACTGTGTTTGGCATATCAAATATGTCATGGGTAGCTTGCCAGACTTTGCTGTGCGGGCGAGATACTCTTGGTAGCTTGCTGGGCACTCCGAGAGGGGCGGAGGAATCGAACCCGGGTCAGCCGAGCCGGCCGCATGCATGGCAAATGCCCTACCAACTGTGCTATCGCTCCAGCTCCTATACGGCTTTGACAGCATATATATATATATATACATATACATATATATATATAATGAGTATGGGTGGTGTGAGGTATGAGTTGTCATGCGACTGCAAATGCTGCTGCATGGTCTAGGAATAAGTTCATTCATGGGTGAGGCTCAGTCTGAGCATGTGGAAAGTGGCCATGAGCTTAGTGATGGTTGAGTTCTGGAGGATTTTGGCTGCTGGGGCTGGGTCCTTGGGGCAGGGAGGGATCTCACCCGCCGGCAGGGGTATCTTGAGCAGTGGAGTGACAGTTCTGGTTTTGCAGGATGTCGCCCTGGTGTGTGTGTGTGTGTGTGTGTGTGTGTGTGTGTGTGTGTGTGTGTGTGTGTGTTGGAAGGGAAGGGAAGGGCTGTTGAGTGTCAAGTGATAAGACCCTTGTGTGAATTTTCACAACGGCGTAGGAATCAACAAAGAGCTTCATGAAAAACATTCCATTCCAAGTCAAGTGGAGGAGCGGAGAGTTGGGATGGGGGTAAGGAACCACCTGGCTTGCTGTGCTCTGGGATCGATCCCAGCCAGGAGTGACCCCCAAGTGCAGAGCCAGGGGCCCCCCCTGAGCACCACCAGGTGTGGTCCAACCCCTCCTCAAATAAAGAAAAATAATGAATGAAAGTCAAGGACAGCTTTTGACTGAGCCAAGTAACGTGAGACCTCAGAGATGTGACCCCGGGTTTGTGCCTGCACCCCCTAAACGGGGGCCTTTACTTTTGGGTACCCGAACCCTCAGTGACACGGGGAGACACACAGCAGTGGCCCTGGGTAAGGGGAATCTGGGGAGAGACTTTACTTTGTTTTTTCTTGACCTCTTGGCGTTGAACCTTCGGCCAACAGTGCCTGTGTGTGATCTGGGGATCTTGTCTCTTTTCTTTTTAATTTCTTAGTTTTGTTTTTGGATCATTGCTGGTGGTATTCAAGACTTACTCGTGGCTCTGCACTCAGGGATCACTCCTGGTGGTGCTCAGGGGTCTCTCTGGTGTGCTGGGGATGGACCCTGGGTCAGCCGTGTGCGAGGCAAATGCCCTACCCACTGAACTATCTCTCCAACCCCCTGGGGGAGAGAGGGATCTTGTTTAGATCCATCAAGTACCCAAATCTGAAGTCAGGCAGGGGGAGGGAGGTGGAGAGGTGGTGGTTGGTGGGCAACGGAAATCTCTCCTGAGCCAGCCCCCGCCACCTTTGGGAAAACATTTATTCTGGGTTCTGAGCATATTCTGGATCCGGGGTGCTGGAGGCCAGGAGGTGGGGGATAGGGCTCCGGCCAGCCTGCCCACCCTGCCATGGGCCCGTTGCTTCTGCTGGATGGGCACAGCACAGGTGTGTATCTGAGGAGACAGTCACTGGGATGGCGAGTTTGAGAGCAGGAAGGTGCCTGATTTCCAGCTGACATCACTGATGCCCCTTCCACCCTCCCCCAACCGTGTTTAGCTCCTGCCCCCTCCAAAACCATCCGGCTTCTTCCCACCCCCCTTCTCTCAACTTCCTCCTCCAGCACAGCCAGGGAGTGGGTCAGTGGGGGGTCAGTCCCGCTGGCCCTGGATGGTCCTGCTCCACAGAGCCCTCCCACAGAGCTCTCCGGTGTGTCCTTACAACACACACCAGGAACCCTACCTTACCTTGGCGACACCACATGTGACCAGTCCCCATGTGTGCCCCTCCTTCCCATCTGATGGTCTCACCTGGGGGTCTCACCTGAGCAGACGCCCACCCAGCCTGGGAGGCGCCCGTGGCAGCCACACTCAAGCCCTTTCCTCCTGTCTCCCAGGGATCTACAAGGGACACTGCTTCCGGATCAACCACTTCCCGGAGGACAATGACTACGACCATGACAGCTCTGAGTACCTCCTGCGTGAGTCCCGAGGATGCGGGTCCTTGTTGGGGGTGGGGAGGTGGCCACAGGGGCCAGGGGCCCCCAGGGGTCGGGTAGGGGAGGGGAGGTGCTCTCCTCTCTCCTCTGTAGCCTCTTGCCACTCTGTTTCTGCACCAGAAATGATGGGCCCAGAGGAGTGGGTTAGGGTCAGGCCAGGACCCCCATGGCTCTGGGACCCACTTGGCTATGAGTCCAGGCAGGGGAAACTGAGGCCTGGAAGAGGGGAGGCGGGAACTGGGTCTCTCTCCCTGCCAGTCTGTCCCTGTCTCTGTTTCTCTCTGTTTCTCTCTGTTTCTCTCTCTCTCACACACACGCACGCACGCACGCATGCACACAGACCGGCTGGGCATGGCCACCTTCGGAGCAGTTGGCGGGCTGCCGTATAGCAAGGGGGTAAAAGGGGTAGGACTCAGGCTGACGCAGGCCAAGCATTTAGGGGTGCGGTATGTACCTCCCCAGCCCTTACCTTATTCTTGAAAGTCGAGAGGTAGCCCAGCACCGAGGCCACCTGTGCACTGCCGGGACAGGAAGGACAGTGGCCTTGGCCCTGTGGATCCCCCTAAGCGGCCCTGGTCCTCGCCTGGTCCTGACACCTCATGTCTGGGCCCCCAGAGAACAAAGGTCGCCCCAGGCTGAGCACTGGACGCTGGCTCTGGCCCGGGGGCGCGTGGGGAGCTGGAGCGGGGAGAGGCGGCGGCATTTTGAAGTCATTTTCCTCCTCGCATCAGCCGAGACTCACGCTGCGCGGCTCGCAGCAGTGACCGCAGGGGGCCGGGCCGGCTTCATTTATGGGGAATCGATTCCTGCTTCGCCGTGCACCTGCTCATGCGGCACTGGGGGTTGGTGTCTCTCTCCCGAAGAGGAGGGACTGGGGTTCTGAGTCAGCTGGAGGAACAGCCTGGGGCAGGGGCGGGAGGGGGAAAGGTCTCTCTGGACCCCTCCTGTACCCCTCCCCACCGCTCCCCCTTCCCAGATACCCCCCCTGCCCGGGGCACCCTTCCTGCTGCCTGCGTACCGCTAAGGCCAGCGCGGGCCGTGTGGTCACACCTGCTGTGTGCAGAGACAGGGACATTGTGGGGGAACCCCGGGTGGGGCCACGTGCCTGGCAGACCCTGTGGCTCAACTCGATGGGGGAAGGCTCAGCTGAACCCCACCCACAACCCACTCTGAACCTGCCTGGGCTGGGGGGACGAGGGGGATGGTGGCTTTGAAGGGACAGTCAGGGCGGCCAGGGCTGGGGGTCCAAGGGTGGGGGATGCCCTGCCCCCGTCCCTCTGTACACAGCAGAAAACGAGTCCTGGACGTTCCCCTTCCCTCCTGGGCCTTGTCCCCGCTCTGTCTGGGGCGCCTTCTCAGGGCCTCGGCCCTGGGCAACCCCGCCGGGGACCAGGAGTGTGTGCACTGTAGGACACCATGTCTGGCCCTCTGTAGAGGGAAGGGGATGAGCACACAACGGGAGCTGACAACCGGGTGCTGGCCGCTCCCCAGCCTGGGGAGCCAGGGGAGGGCACCCAAAGGTGCCACAATGGGCAGGAGCCAGCGTCTGCAGGAAGGAAGGAAGAACAGTCTTAGCCCTTCTCTACCACAGCCCCCCACCCTGAGCTCCACGCTCTTATGCACGGGGTCCCAGGGTCCGAGCAGGGCGGCGCGAAGGTGAGCCAGGTGGGGAAGGCAACTGGCCCAGCCAGCTTCAGCCCCTCCCCTGCCCCACCTGCCCAAGGGCAGGGTGAGGGAAGAGCAGAGGTGGGCTACACCCCCCAGTCACCAGGGACCTCACAGCAGGCAGGAAACCCCCCCCCCCGAGAGAAGGAAGTGTTCTTGGGGGACACTGTGGGGAGACCCGCTGGGCACCGTCACCAGCCCAGAGAGGCCCAAGGTGCCAGCCTTGAGCTCCGGCGGATGGTGGGGAGGGGGTGGTAGAGCAGACCCACCAACCAGGAGGGGCCCTTCCTTGTGGAGCAGGAGGGAGAGCAGCCCCCGAGAGCTCGCGGCCAGTGGGAAAGGGCACTCAAGCTCAGGCAGACGAAGGGGCTGCTCAGCGGTCCCCAGGCTGCCGGTCCCCCATTTTCAGTCCTCTGCCCTCTCAAACGGAGATGCTCTGGAGCGCCAGCTGGGGGTGGCGCTGGCACAGAGGCGGGTTCTGGAGAATTCCTCGCTCACTCACCTCCTCTGGGGCCTTCCACGTGCTGGGGACCGTCTTGGCCCTGTGAGGTTTCACAGGATGCTGAGTGCAGCTGCCTCTTACAGTGACGCCCTGCAGGGAGGGCAGGGATGAGAGAGTTACAGGGAGGGGCTGGGGGTTCCCTACTGCCCACCCCCACACCCTGTCCTCAATGCCGGACTGAGCGTTCCCTGGTTGGTTTGGGATTTGGGCTTGCGGGCCAGAGCTGGTGGGGCTCAGGGCTGACTCCTACGTCTGTGCTCAGAGCTCACCCCTGGTGGTGCTCAGGGGACCTTATGGATGGGACGCTGGGGATCCAAGCCGGGACAGCCGCCGGCGAGACCAGTGTCCACCCACTGTGCTACGGCTCTGGCCCCGAGCTGGACATCCTGAGTCCTCCTGGAAAACTGATACTGAGCCCAGTCACCTCGGGGCTCCTCCCAGGGCACGCAGCACCCCGGAAGCCTCCTTCTCCAAGCAGGTCCCGGGGCTGCCTGTCCATCTGGCACTGACCGGTCACCTCTCACCAGGTCCTGCATTTCGGGTTCAGAGATGGGCCAGGACCCACCGGGGCAGGGGAGGAGGGGCACGAGGCTGCTCGCCAGCTCGGGGTGCGACTGTCCGCAGGAGTGGCCTCGAGGCCGCCCTCCCCCACCCTGGGCACGCTTCCCAAGGCCCCCCGGGGCTGCTGGGAGAGAAGAGCGGCTTTTACGGCCCCCAGACAATCCCCGCTCTGTACCACATACTGGGGGCCTCAGAGCAGGAGACAAACGCGCCCTTCAGAGGCGGGCGGCCCCGGCTCCCCTCAGCTGCTCTAGCCTTGGGTGCCTAGGACCCCCCCATAGACCAGCCAAGCCACGAGGGTCCCCGCAACAGGGTTTCTACTGGGGCTCTGCCCCCCCTCCCCGAACCATCAGTGACCTGTGGAACATAGAGACAATTAAGCCAGGGGCTCTGACCCTGCGCCCCCCACCCCGGCCAGGGGTTAAGAATGAGACCCTCGCGCAGAGCTCCTGCCATGTGCCCCTGAGTCTCCTTTTGCCCAGCCCACACACGGTCTGTGTCCTTGCTCCGTGGCTGGCATGCTGGGTCCCCAGGACTTGACACCCTGCCATCCGCTCTTCCCAGTGTGGGGTCGGGGGTCTCTGATCCCCAAAAGGCAAAGGCCATCGAATGGAGGGTGTATCTCGCAGGGGTGGGGTATCATCTCGGAGTCCCTTCCAGTCGGGACCCTTCCTCTGCTTTCTGAGTCAGCTGTTGGGGCTAAGACTTGAATGAGCATTGGGGGCTGGGGGAGGGGTCACCCACTGGCCCCCAATAAGTATCGCTGCTCTCCCAGAGGGGCTGAGGACCAGAGGGGCTTGCCTGGCACGTGGCTCACCCAGGGTGCGGTCCCCGGAACTGCATATGGTCCCCCGAGTCCTTACCAGAGTGATCCCTGAGCACTAACCGGCATGACTCCCAAACAAACAAAGAAAAACATTTTTTAAGAGGGTCTGGGATGGCTGGAAGTAAGCTGCCCCATATCTCTGCGAGCCAGCAGCCCAGGGGTCAGGGTTGTCGCGGGGCACCTCGATGCCTCTCTGTGGCCCCTGCTCGTCTCCCACCCGCACACTCTGCTCCTCCAGCTTTTCATGCAGCCCCCAAGGGCACGGAGATAAAACTCACCTGCGGAACCCCGGACAATGGACAATGAGGGCCAGTGCCACCCAAGTCCAGGGGCCTCACCCACACATCTCAGAGTCCAGACTGTACCCCTCCATGGAACCTGAGAGCTGGGGGCCTCAGTCCCCCCTCTCGGCCCCCCTCTCCCCACCAGAGCTGCCTCTGCAGATGCCCTCCCCTAGGCTTTGGGGGACTTCCTCCTCCTGAGGGGAGCCCAGGGTGTGTGTGTGTGTGTGTGTGTGTGTGTGTGTGTGTGTGTGTGTGTCTAGGGGGGGCAGGGGGACTCAGCAGGTTGAGCAGTCACAGAGCCTCAGTCTCTAGGGGCCCCGTGGGGATGGTCAGAGTCAGGGGAAGGGCTTGGAGTGGGGGCTGATGACTTATACCCACAGCCACTGCCCACACCCACGGCCACCACCCGTAGCACAGTTAAAACCCTCACCAAGACCACCACCCGAGCCCACAGCCAGCACCCACATCCACGGCCACGGCCACTGCCCACACCATGACCACGGCCTGCGCCCACGGCCACCGTGCTTGGGCACAGCCACGGCCACGCCCACCGCACCCCTGGCCACGCCCACCGCGCCACCGGCCCCCGCCCCCAGGGCTGACTCCCCGCCCCTCCCCGCAGGCATCGTGCGCGCATCCAGCGTCTTCCCCATCCTCAGCACCATCCTGCTGCTGCTGGGGGGGCTCTGCATCGGAGCTGGCCGCTTCTACAGCCGCAGGAACAACATCGTGCTCAGCGCCGGCATCCTCTTCGTGGCCGCAGGTGAGCCCTGGGGTGCTCTGTGAGAGAGGGATGACGGGACGTGGGACCCTCACGCACAGCCTGGTGTGGGGGGGGTGTTGCCCTCTCAAGGATGCTCATTGCCCCCGGGCCGGGGGGGGGGGTGCGGGCAGCGGCAGCTCAGGTGTGGGTGAGGCAGAGTTCTCCTTTAGGGGTGATGCAAAAGTCCCAGAACCAAGTCAAGGGCTTGGGGGCACCCTGGACGCGGGAAATGCTGCAGCCCGCACATCCGGGTTCCCTCTGCATCGCTCCCAAGTCTGCGGTTCGAGGTGAGCACGTCCAGGCCCAGGCCGGCCTCCTTGGCCCCCTGGTGAGCCCAGAACCACCCAGCCAAGAAAGGAATTAAGCAAACGCCAAAAACAGCCAAAATTGGTGAAAGCACGTCAGGAGCTCCAAAGGGCAGCTCTGCTCCAGGGCCGGCATGTCCAGGGGGCTCAAGGCATGGGGGGTTGGCCCTGTCGGGGATGGGGGGAGTGCTGGGGCTGGACATGGCCAGGAAGGAGAGTGAAGGGCACCAGGACCCCGTCTGCCCCCAGTGTGGACCCCAGGCACTCTGAGATCTCCACCTCAAGGGTCCCTCAGAGCCCCGAGGGGGACAGTCTGGGGCCTCTGGCCACTGCAGCTGAGGGGAAGGCGGAGGACACAGGTGGCTCCTGCATGGGTGGTCACCAGCCCAGAGCTCAGGGGAACCCGGAAGGAAGCAGGGCAAAGGAAACAGACCCACCCACACATGTTCTGGGGTGTGTGAGTCCAGGAGTGAGAGAGAGATGGCGAGCGTGGGAAGGAACCCAGAGCCTGGAAGAGAGCACAGGGGCCTGGGGCCTCTTCTTGCACACAGCTCACCTGGTTCCATCCCCAGCACCCACCTGGGCTCTGAGCAACAGCCAGGAGTGATCCCTGAGCACTGCCGGGTGTAGCCCCAAAACAGAAGAAATGAGGGAAAGGAGATAAGAAAAGAGGGGGGGAGGGGAGAGGAGAGGAGAGAGGTGGGGAGAGGAGAGTTAGGAGACAGGAGGGGAGAGAGGAAAGAGGAGGGGAGAGGAGTAGAGGGAAGAGGGGATGGGAGAGAAGAGCAAAGAGGGAAGGGGAGAGTGAAAAGGGGAGGGGAGGAGAAGAGAGGGAAGGAGAGGAGAGGAGGGAGGAGGGGAGGAGAGGAGAGGAAAGAGGAGAGGAGACAGGAGGTGAAGAGAGGGGAGGGGAGGGGAGAGGAGAGGAAAAGGGGGAAGGAGAAGAGAGGAGAAGAGGAGAGGAGAGGGGAGAGAGGAAAGGAGAGGAGGGGAGGGGAGGGGAGAGAGGAGAGGAGAGAGGAGGGGAGGAGAAAAGAGGGGAAGGGAGAAGAGGGGAGGGGAAGAGAGAGGAGGAAGGAGAGAGGAAGGGAGAAGAGGGGAGGGGGAGAGGAGGGGAGGGGGAGGATAGGAGAGGGGAGGAGGGGAGGGGAGGAGAGGTGCCCTCAGAACTCCTCGGGAGGGTCCGTGGCAGCTCACAGCCTGTTTTCTTGTCCCTATCCGAACACTTGTAGCACTTTTGGGGTCCCGTCGGGGGCCACACCCAGCCATCCTCAGGGTCCCTTCCTGGCGGGGTTCGGGACCAGGCCGGGGCTCAGGGATCTAACTCGCCCGGGACCCTTGGCCTGACCCCGCCCTCCCCGCAGGCCTCAGCAACATCATCGGCATCATCGTGTACATCTCCAGCAACACGGGCGACCCCAGCGACAAGCGGGACGAGGACAAGAAGAACCACTACAACTACGGCTGGTCCTTCTACTTCGGCGCGCTGTCCTTCATCGTGGCCGAGACGGTGGGCGTGCTGGCCGTGAACATCTACATCGAGCGCAACAAGGAGCTGCGCTTCCACGCGCGGCGCCAGCTGCTGCCCGCGCCCGCCTCGGCCTCGCCCTACGCGCGGATGCCCAGCTACCGGCCCCGGCGCCGGCGCTCGCGCTCCAGCTCGCGCTCCACCGACGCCTCGCCGTCGCGGGACGCGTCCCCGCTGGGCCTGAAGCTGGCGGGCGCCATCCCCATGGGCGAGCTGTCCATGTACACGCTGGCCCGGGAGCCGCTCAAGGTCACCACCACGGCCAGCTACAGCCCCGAGCGGGACGCGGGCTTCCTGCAGGTGCACGACTTCTTCCAGCAGGAGCTCAAGGGCGGCCTGCACGTGAGCATGCTCAACCGACGGACCACGCCCGTGTGAGCCCGCCGCGCCCCCGCCACCCTGCCCATGCCCAACAGGAACCGGAGGCGGCCACCCCCACCCCACCCCACCCCACCCCACCCCGCTGGGCTCCGGGCGGCTCGGCGGGCAGCGGGAGGTGGACTTCTTCTCCCCACGCCCTCCCCCAAACGGGGTTGTGCACCCCAGTCCTCCCTCCCCGGGGGGTTCCCACGTCCCCCCAGGAGGCCCGCCAGCTCTCTGAGGTCACGTGCCTGGACTCCCCCACCCCCACCTGCCTCTCTTAGAAGCCAGTCTGGCCGGGAAAGGGGTCCACGGGGGCCTCTTTTCTTCCCGGCTGGGCCTGGACCCACGTCGGGAGGGTCCTGCAGACACCCCGGGGCCTTGGGACATTGGCCAGTGCCCTCAATAACCCCCCCTCCCCGTGTGTGTGCGTGAGCCTGACGCAAAGAATACCCCGCGGGCCCTCTCCCACTGCTCCCCCCCCTCTCTCTTTCTTTCTCTCTCTGTGATTGGGGGGTGGACTCAGCCAAGGCCTGTCCACCCCCCAGGACTGGGTGGCATCCCCAAGTCACTGAGGCCGCCCCTCCTCCAGGAAGCTCCTGCCTATCCGGGAAAGGACCGAGTCCTCCAGAGTCCAGAACGTTCCACAAGGCAGAAGAAGGGGAAATGGCCTGTGGCCTCTTGCTGCGTCCCTGCCCACAGGTCTGAGGAGGGGCTCTGACCCCCACCCCTGCCCACACCCCCTCGCTGGTGGTGGGTCACCGGAACCTGGACTTCTGGGCCAGACAGGGGCCCCGGAGCAGAGCCAACACCCCTCTCCTCCATGGTTCTTCACTGTGGCTGACGGGATGGCCTCCAGGGAGCGAGTCTTAGAGCCAACCTCCCTCCCAGGCCCGTGGTTGTAATTTATTCTGCCCTCCGACACCCCCACCCCCCAAGGGCTAGGAGGAAGTTGGGGTGGCAGGGCCGAGGGCTGGGGGGGAAGGCTCAGCTCTGGGGGGTGGACGTGCCCAACGGGCCTCCAGCAGATGGAGGAGGCTGCCGGCCGGGTTCGGAGGAAGCCTCTCGAGCACGGGGCCCCCCTTTTCTACGACACGCGTGCTTTCTACAGAGAAACCGTTTCTTACTTTTCGAGACTTTGTGATCCCTCAGCAGTTGTCCGTGGCCTCTTGGCGGTGAGCGGCCAGTTCTTACCTCAACAACCTGCTCAGAGTCCCGGGCGGACCCCAAGTTCAGGACCCTGGTGGAGGCCAAGGTCCCCCATCCCGTGCCTCCTGCTAGCCGCACTGGGGGTCCCTGCCTGGCCCTGGGCTGAGGTGGCTGTGAGCCTCATCTGACCCAGCACGCACATGGGGGGGGGCAAGTGTCAGCTCTGCCCCTGCTGTGGCTGTCCCGTCCTGTCCAGCCCGCCCCTGACCCCCTCCAGCCAGCCCCAGGCCGTCCACGGGTCACCCCCGCCAAGGGGCCTGAGACACACTCTGTCCCCCCAAACACAGCCTTGTGCCCCCCCCACCAGAAGTGTGTTATTCAGGGAAGGCCGGAGGGGGCGCGAACCCCACTTTGGGCAGTGCCCACAGTGCTGCGCTAGGGAGCCAGAGGGCAGCAGGGAGGGCAGAGCCTCCCTGTGGTCTGGCCCCCCTGAGCCTCATCCCTCCCTCTCCCTTCCCTTCCCCTCTCCCATCTCCTTTTCCCCTTCCTTCCTTCCTTCCTTCCTTCCTCCCTTCCTCCCCTCCTCCTCCTCTCCTCTTCCTTCCCCTCCCATCTCCTTTCCTCCCTCCCCCCCCCTCTCTCCTTCCCTCTTCCTTCCCCGTCCCTCCTCCTCTCTGCTCTCCCTGGCAGGGTCTAAGGCTATCCGCTTCCCCCTCTCCACCCTAAGCCTTGTGCCCATGGGGGCGTGAGATGGCCCGCGCCCACCTTTCTTCTCTGCCTAGCTCACCACCCTCGTGTGACACCCACCCAGACGCCCCTCTCCCCACCGTTAAGCCCCTGTGACTTCTGTATCTACTGCTGGTTTGGGGTTGTTCGTTCTGTCTTTTTTTTTTTAATTAAATAAAAATGTTTTTAAAATAGTCTCCGGGCTTTGCAGGAGGAGGGCGGCGCTGCCCCTCTGGCCCCTGTGGACAGGGGTAAACAGTGACCAGGGGTGGGGAGAGGGTTCTGGGGAGCAGGCTGCAGGCTTTAGCTATCCCAGGCGCTCCCACCTAGCACAGGTGCAGGTTACTCTGTCGAGGGGCCCCACAGGTGGGCTGGAGGCCATAGAGGGTGGGGGCAGGCGGGCGGGTGGATCTCGGAAGGATGAAAGCTGGTGAGTGAGGACAGGTGAGGACCAAGGGGGCAGCGGAGGGAGCCGAGGAGCAGCAGGTGGCCAGGGACAGGTAAAGGCAGCGGGGAGGGCACTGACCCTCAGGCGGTTGACCCGGGTTCAATCCCCAGAACCCTCCAGGGTTCCTTAAACCCTGCCAGGAGTCATCCCTGAGCACAGAGCCAGGAGTCAGCCCTGACACCACCAGCTATTGCCTGAAAATACAAACAACAGCAATAAGAAGAATGATGGCCGGGCTGAGAAGCCATGTGCTGGTCCCATCTCACATGGAGGGGAACTGAGGCACGGAATCCTCAGAAGGTTGGGCCAGGCCACAGAGCCACAGGGAAGGCACAGCCAAAGCCCTCGCGGCTTCTCAGGAGCTGCTTCCGGGCCACATGCATCAGATTTTTCGTCGGGGCTCCTGGGCCCTCCCTTCCAGAAACAGCAGTCCGGGGTGAAGAAGGAAATGGGAGAGTTGGGTGGGGGTGCACCAAGGGGTGCCTTTGTCCTGGCTTTGGAACCCAACTGTGGTGGGAATCGTGCAAAGGCATTCGAAGAGTAGAAGAATCGGTCCTGAAAAACCCACCATCCCACGGGGCTCGGTTCCGGTGCCTCCTCCCCCTACCACGGGCCGGGGGGTGGGGGGGAGAGGGTCCCCCAGCTCCCACCGGAGAAAAGTCGCCCTGCTGAAGCTTGTTGGAAGAAGCAATGAACCTATTGCGCCTTTCACCATCCTACAGGGCTTTCTGGATGGATGATGGGCAGCGAGTTTCCCCGGATGGGGTGTTCTAGAACACCCGTGGAGGCTGAGCCCCCACCTCTATCCCCATGCCAGGCCCTGGGCAAGCCATGCCCACTGCTCGTTGTCACCTTCTGCTTCCCCAGCTGATGCCCGCCCTTTCTCCAAATTAGGCTGCAGCCTGGGCGTCCTCACACAGCTACCCGGCTGCGATGCTGTCACTCCTGCCCCCAACCTGGACAGTGCTGGCACCGGCCAGGCCTCAGCCGTCTCCTGTGGCTCTGAGCTGGAGTCCCCGGAGAAGAAGCCTAGCGGGGAGAAAGATGCCTGTGTCCCTGCTTTAGCAGCCCTGGTGGCCCAGCCCTAGAGAGTGGGGGGACGGCGGCCAGTGGGGGCCTCAGACTAGAGAAAAGGCTGGCACGGCATGCCCGATGGTTGTTTATAAATTCGCAGTTCCTAATAGAACTGTCGGTATAACTTGTGGGTGTAGAAACCCATGATCAAAGAAGTCAGGGACGTGCCTCTGGAGGGGGCTTGGGGGACATGAGTCCTCATCTTTGTCTGCAGGTGAAGCTTCAGGGAAGGCTCATTCCCCTGGTTGACGCCTGCATGCGTGAGCCTGCGGCCACCAGCCACCTGACACTCACCAGTTCGAGAATAAAGTATTTGGGGGCTGGAGGGAGAGGACACTGGAGAGGGTCAGCACGCAGCTGACTTCGGTTTGATCCCCAGTATCCCATAGGGTCCCCTGAGCCCAGTCATGAGTAATCCCTGAGCACAGGGAGCGAGCTCTGAGCACCGCCAGGTGTGGCCCAAAAATCATAAGCCAAGGAAGAGTCAAGCATTGTCCCCTGAACAGGCATCCAGGCGGCTCAGGGAAGTGGGAGCGCCTTCAGGAAATCCCACCACCCCAGAGACGAGGACAATGATGGGTGAGTTTTGGACAGGGAGACAGAGGTGGGGTCCCAGGTTACAGCTTGATTGTGGCCCTTTGTCTTCATGAGAACGTCCCCATATCTTTAAATCTCCTGCAAAGGGAAACAGAGAGGCCCCGTTTGCTGGGTAGGGCACTGAGGGGACCGAGTAGTGGGGTCCTCAGGTATGCATTGGAGGCTACTCACTTGACCCCTTCTTCCCAGAGGCTGAGGGGAACGGCGGATCTCTGCACCCACTGCTAACACGGCCAGGACCCGATGTGTGTGGGCCCTTGGGACAAGAGGGGAGGGGCCCCCGCCTTCTGACAGTACCATCCCCCTCCAGCCTCCAAGCACACAGAATCCAGTCACCCCACTCCTGAACGCCTGAGTGTCTGACTGAGCAGGGGCCAGGAGCTTGCCCCTCCAACCCCCCAGCACATGTTGAAGTCTCAGCAAGATGAGGTGCCTGCCCAGGGCCTCTGGGGTGGTGGTAGGGGAGCTGTGGTTATGCACCATGGGGGGCTCAGGGCAGGAGAACATGGGGGACTACTGAGCCCATTGAACAGGCACCCCAGGGCAGAGGGAGTAGACAGGGCAGGGAGAATGGGCGGCGGCAGAAGCAGGAAAGTGGACCGGAGCAATAACACAGCGGATAGGGCGTTTGCCTTGCATGCGGCTGACCCAGGTTCGATTCCCAGCATCCCATATGGTCCCCCAAGCACTGCCAGGAGTAATTCCTGAGTGCAGAGCCAGAAGGAACCCCTGTGCATCACCGGGTGTGACGGGAAGAGGAGGAGGAAGAGGAGGAGGAGGAGGAGGAGGAGGAGGAGGAGGAGGAGGAGGAGAAGGAGAAGGAGGAGGAGGAGGAGGAGGAGGAGGAGGAGGAGGAGGAGGAGAAGGAGAAGGAGAAGGAGAAGGAGAAGGAGAAGGAGAAGGAGAAGGAGAAGGAGAAGAACGGCGGGCCCTTGGGAGCTGCCCGGGCCCTGCCCAGAGGGCCCTGCTGAGCTGGTCCCTAGCCTGGTCCCTAACCTGGTCCCTGCACAGGGATGTCCTGGCCTGCGGAAAAGAGCGGCAGCATCCAGCCCTGGAGCCTGGGCCCTGCAGACACGGAGAAAGGTCCAGCCTGGGGCCTGTTTTCCTCTAAACTGGCTGTAGGGGCAAGGCCCATCTCCGCTATGGCTGGTCCTGCTCAGCCCTGCCGCCGTGTCTCACGGACAGCCTCACGTCACACCGAGTTCCCTCACATTCCCGGATCTGGTGAAGAAAGTCACGTGAACACTCAGTCACATAAACACCTTCAGTGCCTCGCCGGGGTGGGTCCGTTCATCCAACAATCACCCGCACATGATCCTGCCCCCTCTCATCCCATGCCCGGCAGTGCTTGGGGACTCCAGGACCACTCCCAGTGACCCTCAGCTCTGCAGTGCAGGCCTGACAGTTGAGTGTTGCTCAGGCCTGTGTCCATCCTGGGATGCGGCTCGGGCCCCACGCTGGGCAATTGCTGATACCCAGAGGGCCTAGGGGCCACCAGGACCACCCTAGCGAGCTGGGGGGAGAACACGGTCTGGGGATCCAACTTGGGGGCTTTAGTGTGCCAAGCACGTGCCCTAGCCCAGTGGGTCACCTCCCCACCCTTCCAAAAACACATGTAAAGGCCCCACCCAGGGCTCAGAGCTGGGGTGCTCTCTGAGGAGACCCAGAGAGTCTCACCACACTCGCGCCACCAGGGAGAGTGAACGCACTAACAACACGAACCATCCGGCAGGGAAGGCATTTGCTGCCCGCTGAGCCCAGCCTGTGTCTGGCCTGGCATCCTTGAGCACAGCTGTGTGTGGTCCAAATCCTCTCACCCTGTTCAAAAAAAAAAAAAAAAAGAAAAAAAAAAAAACCCAAACTCAACAATCTGGGGCCAGGAGATTGCTCAGCGGCTAAATAAAACACCTGCCTTGCGAACATGAGGTCTCGAATTCCACCCCTGGGGACCCCACGTGCTCCAGGAGAGATGCTGGCAGCCACATGCCTGTCTGCCCTGTGCCATGAGCCCTGCAGCACCACCAGGCGCAGGGGACAACTGGGTTGGGGGGGGGGGTATCGCGGGGCCCGAGGAGCACTGTGGCGGAGCAGACCAGCAGTACGCCGAGCGTGAGTCATCGAGAAGGCAGCGGGACTACGGGATGGCACGAAGGGCTGGATGTGGGGGTCCTGAGTTTCATCGCTGGCACTCCGAACACTATAGTCCCCCAACACCACCAGGAACAACCGTGAGCACCCCTAAAAATAAAAGTAGCATGAGCAGAATGCAAGTAAGGGGGCTGCGGCGATAGCATAGTGGGTAGGGCGTCTGCCTTACACGCTGCTGACCTGGGTTTGATTCCCAGAATCTCATATGGTCCCCCGAACATTGCCAGGAACAGTTGCTGAGTGCAGAGCCAGGAGTAATCCCTGTGCATTGCCAGGTGTGACCCAAAAAGAAAAAAAAAAGGAAGGCAGGTAAGGAAGGAGAGGGGGATCCCGGGCTGAGGTGATGATGCCAATGATCTATCCTGATTATTACCCGCCCAGCGTATATGCAACAGTGATGGGCATTGGTGGTGCCCACCTGGGGGCCCAGGCCCATCACCTCCATGGTGCCAGGGACAGGAGGGGAGGCAGTGGGCCCCCAGGGGTGACTCTCCTCCAATTCTGGAGGTGGGCCACACGGGAGTCCATTTCAGCTCGTGGGTTCTGGCAAGTGTCTTCCTCCAACTGGTCTCCTTCTTCCAGGTACCTCCATTCTCAGGACCCTTGGCCCATCCCCAGGGTCCACCTCAGGGTCTCTCCCTTCCCCCTCCTGCCAGGTCCACCCCAAAACACCAGCCCTGGGCTCTGGGTTTCTGCCCCACAGCAGGAAGGAGGCCCAGTTTTCACGGATGACGTGTCCTGGGGCTAATCTGGTGAAACATTCTCCCCACCTATTTTCCAGATGAGCAAAGGCAGCTGCGGGAGGCTCAGCACAGGATGTCACCCAGAGCTGCCCCCAGCAACGCTCCTGAAGACCCTCTCTTCTTGAGGCGGGGGCAGACCAGCTAGCACCAGCTCTTGACAGCCCGGCAGGGCACACGATGGTCACACACACACACACACACACACACACACACACACGGGTGTTCACACACACACGGAGGCTGGCTCAGACCCACCCCCACCCTGGCCCCGTTCTGACGAGCCCGCACAGTGGGCCATGCTGAGTGCACCCCCAGTGCACCCAGAGAAACACCAATGACATTTGTGCCCCCCCCCCACAGATCCATTGACACTGAAACAAACTCCAAACTTCCTTTGTCTCCCTCCCTTGCCTGGGTGTCTGGGTGCATTGGGTGTGAGTAACCCCCCAAGGTCTCCAGGCTTCCGGGACTGTGTCTTGGCCCTCTGCCTGGTCATGCATCCTGGAACCCCACACCCTTGCCAGCAGGGTGGGGGCCATGAGGGGGAGCAGAGAGGAGGAGGAGGAGGCAGGGGCCCAGGGTGTTCTAGGGGTCGCCAAGGGGTCTCATCCGCTTGCTCTTTAGGCTACAGTTTCTTTGATTTGACATGATGGGTTTGGGACCCCCTTTCCCCACAGAACAGCAGTGGGGCCCTTTGACTCTTTGAAGCTAAAGGGGCTGATGAGCTGTAGGCATGGGGGCGGGGGACGGGTTGAGCGTGCTCGGGCCACCTGGGTCTGCAGGTGAGAGAAGCAGTTCTGCCCCCACCCCGGCCCCCAGGCCCTGCCCTGTGTGCCCACCACCAGCCATCCTCAGTCTCAGGCTCAGCGAGTGAATGCTCAGCGAATCTTAGGTTCTCTCCCGAAACCCACCAGGAGTGAGTCTGCACTTAGCTCTGCAGCTGCACGGCCTCGGCTCCCCCCATCCCTTTGTCCCTCCCTCCCTCCCTCCCTCCCTCTCTTCCTCCCTCTCTTCCTCCCTTCCTCCCTCCCTCCCTCCCTCCCTTCCTTCCTTCCTTCCTTCCTTCCTTCCTTCCTTCCTTCCTTCCTTCCTCCTTCCTATACTCCTTCCCTCCCTTCTCCCTTCTTTCCTCCTTCCCTCCTCCCTCCTTCCCTCCATCCTTCCTTCCTCCCTCCCTCCATCCCCTCCTCTCCAGCCCCCATCTAGTAGATCCCTTGATTATCTGCTAGATCCCTTGATTATCCGATAGATCCTTTGACTCTCTGGTAAGCCCTTCGGCTCACAGGAAGTGGGAACAGACTGGGCGGTGGAGTTCTCACACTGGACACCGTGCAGCCGCCACCCAGCCCAGGGCCCACTGAAGCTTTCCTGTGGTTGGGGGCTGGGAGGGGAGTCCCTTGGCAGGTTTCCCCAACCCCAAGGCCAGGGGCCCACTCACAGGCCAGGGTGCGGACAGGGGCTGGGCAGCTGGTGATCAGTTTCCCACCCTCACCCCACCTGCGGCCCCACACCCCTTGCCCCTCCCGGCCTCACCCCTGTCTGACCCCTGGGTTTCTGGCTCCGGAGGGGAGCAGCCCTGAAACTCGAGGCTGGCCCAGGCGCGGCTCCCCGTCCCCAGGGCCTGACACGTATGGGCAGCTGCTCCTGGACAGTCCACTCTGGCTCCGCCCACCCCTAAACTTAGCTCCATCCTGCACAGCCGCGCCTGCTGCCAGCCGGCCACACTTGGACCACCATGTCCCAGGCGAGCACGCTCACGGTGCGCGGGACCCTCTTGTGTGTCCTGGCGGGCGTTGTGCTGGTCCTGGTGGCTGTGACCACTGACCACTGGGCTGAGCTGAGCCACAACGCCACCTGCCAGGCCACTCACTTTGGCCTTTGGCGGATTTGCACCAAGCCCCTTGCAGGGGGCGGCCTTGAGCCCCGAAGCTGTGGATCCACTGCCAGGCCTGGGGGTAAGGTACTCGCCCCTCATGGGATGGGGGACCCCTCATGGGATGGGGGTCTCATGGGATGGGGGACCCCTCACGGGAAAGGGAGGGCTTCATGGGATAGGGAACCCCCTCATAGGAAAGGGGGACCCCTCGTGGGAAAGGGGGACCCCTCGTGGGAAAGGGGGTCCCTTGAGCGGGTCTGAGGTGGTCCTAGCATCCAGAAAGTCCACATAGGGGAGCAGAGCTGCCCTCCCCCATCCCCCCCTTCGATTCACACACTCCTCACCCAGATCTGGTGGGTGTGGCAGAAAGTTCTGAAATGAGATCACCACCTCCCAGAGAAGTAGCTTGAAGCAGGCCCATCCAGGTCTCAGAAGAGCCGGGAGTGGCAGATCCCCGGCTTTGTTCCAGCTGCGGTGTAGACAGGCAGTGGTGTAGACGGGGCCAGTGGGAGATTTTCCTGGCACAGGGCGATGGGCCACTGGTGTGGGGACCCAGCTGGGGCGAGCCTCCTGCCTCCTGGGGAGAACGGGGTGTTCCCACAGCCCTCCCGGGGCAGACTCCGCACTCACAGCTGGACCTTGCCCACTGTGTGCCGACCCTGAAGACTTGGTGCCCCCTGGACACAGCCAGGAGTGCCTCATCCCCAGCAAGCCACTCCCAGCCCCGCCCCCCGTGCAATGCCCGCTCTGGCTGGGGCTCTTCCGGCCTCCCCTCTTTCAGTGACTCTGAGGGGCTGCGCTGTGTCTCCACCCCCAGCTAACTCCAGAGCCTCACAGGCCTTCGTTCCTGCTCTCAAAGGCTCTGCCACCCCCGGGTGGCCCTGCTTCCAGGCAATCCTCCGTCCATATCTTTCAGGAAGGCAGCTACCTACCTGAAGCTGTGCAAAGGATCTCCTTCCTCCACCTCACCCCTTCCTCCCACCTCACTCTGCCTCACCCCATCCTCCAACCTCACCCCTTCCTCCCACCTCACCCAGTCCTCTACCTCACCCCTTCTTCCCGCTTCACCCCTTCCTCCTGTCTCACCCCTTCCTCCCTCCTCATCCCTTCCCCCACCTCTCACCCCTCCCTCTCTGCCCCTCCCCCAGCCGCCTCCCAAGTATCTGGCACCTATGTTCCCTGGGCAGGGGCCTGTGCAGGAAGGTATCACATAGCCCAAGGCCTGAGCAAAGCCACAAACTGAGATGTGACCCTGCCAGCTCCCTGGGGCAGTGCGGTATGTCCGGGACCAGGCTGGGCCTGGCCGAGGTCCTGCCCACCTCTGCTGCTGGCTCGTATCCTCAGGGTGGGAGCGACCCATACGACTCCCACTGTGCCCAGAGCTACGATGATCTATGCTGGCCCCCCAACCAGTTCCCCTAGTCTATCTGTGCCTCTCCACTCCCTGCAAGGACCCCCCACCTGGTTCTGGGGGCTCCTTGCTGGAGGGAGGGGCAGGTTCCTACATACACTCTGGGTCCTTATTGGAAATAACAATCCCTGGGGCTGGAGAGCTGGTCCCATGGGTGGGGTGCAGACCTGCATCAATCCCTGGCATGGTGTAAGCCCCACCTGAGCACAGAGTCAGGAGTAAGCCCTGAGCACCACCAGGTGTGGACCCAGACAAGCAAACAAACAACAGAGAACTGTCCAGTGGGAACTGGCTCCTGGAAGTCCCTGCTGAGCAGGCAGCCCTTTCTGCCGAAACTCGGGCCCATTCTGCAGGGGTCTTTTTTTCTTATCCAATTGTTGAAAAAAAAAAAGCCAATAAATGATCAGAGACCGTTGTCTGGCATCAGAAATGCCCGAAGCAGCAGACTGGGGGGCCAGAGAGATATTCACTCGGCTGGCGCCCAGCCTGGACTCCCTCCCCAGCACCATTCCGGCCCGCACAGCCAGGCAAGCCCATGGTGGTCTCTGGGCCCCTGCGCACTGCTTGGGAGTTACCCCAGCCCCCCAAGGAAATCAAAATGCTGGAGGCGGAGATGTGCAATCGTGGCTTTGGAAGGTTCCCGTATTGCCCATGGAGCGAAAGCCCTGAGCACTCTGCTTTATCTGAGACCACTCCCAGGCCGGAATCAAAGGCCTTGGCTCTCACTCAGAGGGATGTGTGCGTTTTAAACATTTGAGGGTACCAAACCCTCAGAGCCACACCCCACAAGGCACAGGCTCTCTGAATTCTTTTCATAGGAGTCATGGGGGGAAATGACAAGTCATGACAAGGAGCAAGCTCAGGGCAGCGGGAAGGTTTGATTCCAGGAGGTGCACGGGCCAAGCTGGTGGGAGACAGAGTTCAAGGGTCAAGACTTGCAGGCTACTGGCCCCACTTGAAATCTCCCAACACCCCCGAGGGTCCCCTGAGCACCACTGGGGGTGAGCTCAGAGCCAGGAATAGCCCCTACACCCTGCTGTGTGTGGCCCCCAAACCCAAATCTATACATAGATAGAGAGACAGAAAAATTATCCAAGTTTCAACAACCAAAAATTACAAGTCACGCAAAGAGCTACAAAGTATGGCCAGGATGTGGTGTTGGGGGGACAGTGACCACATTCCTGAGAAAGCCCAGACACCCAGTGGATGTGCCAGCCAGGGAGGCCAAGTCAGCTCATCTCTATCTGTATATCTATAGTTATATCTATAGATAGGTAGATAGATCTATAGCACTGTAGCACTGTCCTCCCATTGTTCATTGATTTGTTCAAGCGGGCACCAGTAACGTCTTCATTGTGAGACTTGTTGTTACTGTTTTTGGCATATCGAATATGCTATGGGGAGCTTGCCGGGCTCTACCGTGCTGGCGGGATACTCTTGGTAGCTTGCCAGGCCCTTGAGAGGAACGGAGGAATCGAACCCGGGTCGGCCTTGTGCAAGGCAAATGCCCTACCCACTGACCAATATTCGCTCCAGCCCAGATATATCTATATCTATATCTATATTTGGTTACATACTTTTTTTCAGCCGTATCTGGCTGTGCTCAGTGCTCACTTCTGACAGGGCTCAGGGGACCATATGGGGCACCAGGAATCTAATCCAGGCCAGCCCTGTGCAAGGCAAGTGCCCTCCCGCTGTCCTATCTCTCTAATCCCTAACTCAGCTCTTTACAATGCACTGAATGAACTAAAGGAAACCAGCACTGAAGAAGGAAAATTAGATGACAACAAGCTTCCTGAAATGAGGCTTTCTGCAGAAACTCAATGCAAAGTAGCAATAAAGAGAGAGAAATTCTGGCGATGAAGAATCCAACAACTGAAATGAACTTGGCATTAGGGGAATTCAGTCTCACATCTGAGCAGGCAGAGAGAGAAGGGGCATGGGAGGTAAGCTACTCAGTTTACTCAAACGCCACCCAGACAAAGGGCGGGGGGGGGTCTCAGCCCATCTCTGCAGGACTCTGGGCAACTCCTGCATTGGTCGTGCACACCCTCCTGGGCTTCAAGAGCCACAACAGAGCTGGGGTGTGGCTTGACACGCCGGACCCTGGAGCAAATGTTCCCCCCGATCCCGGCACAAAGCACGCAGCCCAGCCAGGAGAGGGGTGGGCTGGCCTGGCTCCTGCACTCAGGTCCCTCTGAGAGGACCTGAGCCTCCTGGAGGGCCCTGAGTGGGGACCCCACGTGTGAGAGGGGCAGGGAGCAGTGGTCGAGGGTCCTCACCTCGCATGCATGAGGCTCTGAGTTCGAATCCTGACACCAGAAAGACCCTTTCAGAATAGAAAGCGTGGAGGCCGGAACGACAGTACAGCGGGGAGGGCATTTGCCTTGCACACAGCTGACCTGGGTTCGATCCCCGGCATCCCCTAGGGTCCTCCTGAGCACCTCCAGGAGTAATTTCTGAGTGCAGAGTCAGGAGTAACCCCTGAGCATTGCTGAGTGTGCACCCCCCCATAACCCTCCCCCACAAAAAAGAATAAAGCAGTGTCAAGTCTTGATGTCAGGAAACCACGATCATCCTGTCTCTCGGCAGGGAGAAGCTCAGGGTGCCTGGGTGAATGCCCAGTATGCCCTGAGAGAGTGAGAAAAAGGGGGAAACTGGGTCAAAGGGGGCCGATCCCCCAAGAATCTGCAGCCAGCACCTGTCCTGGTCGAGCCTCGCTCTGAACTGAGACTGCTGATTCCAGCTCTGGGAATCTGTTCGTCCTGCCGGGGCCTGGGCCCCCCTGGCCAGGCTGCCACCCCCAATACCCCCACCTCCACCCCGCAGTACCCCAAGAGCACCCCGCCAGGCTGGGCCGCGCAGTCCTCTCCCTCCCTCCTGGGGAAGTGCTGCACTCGCAGAGCAGACAGCGGACCGTGAAGCACACTTGAATTTGGTCGATTCTTTTCCAAGACCAGAGAAATCAGCCCTTAAAGGAAGGCGCCGAGACGGTGCTTTAGGCAGAAGGACACTCCGGGGGACGGGGAGAGAGCGGCAGCCGTGGGGAGCAGGGGTGCAGGAGCAGAGGACAGGGCGGCTGGCAGGCTCGGCTTTAAAATAGCCCAAAGCCAAGAGCCACTCTGGCCTGGCCCCTGCGGCCACCGCTCCTTTCAAGAGGGAGCAGACTTAAATAGATGCGCCACAGCAACCACTTACCAGGTGCTTATGGGCCTCGCCTTGGCTGTGGGGAGCCCGTGGGGGACCCCTCAGGGCTGGGAGGCTGATGGAGATACTGAGGTCAGAGAGAAGGGCACCTGCACCCTCCAGCTGATGCCTCGCCCTGGGGGCTCTTCGGGGACAGAACTGCAAGGTCTCCTGAAGGAAGGAACGAGCCAGGAGGGAACTAAAATCTTCAGGGGAATCGGGGAAGTGAAGTAGCACCCAGGGCCTTGCAGTGCCCAGGGAACTGCAATATTCAGGAGAATTGGGGAAGTGGAGCAGCACCCAGGGCCTTGCAGTGCCCAGACCCCGGAGAAGGCATTCTGGGTGCCCCAGCCTGCCTGCCTGCCAGCCTGTCAGACCAGCCCTGCTCTTGCTTTGTGGGGCCAGGGTTTCCTGGTGGACAGGAATTGAGCCATCGCACAGCAGGGAGGGTCCTTGTCTTACATGTGGCCCACCTGGGTTTAATCCCCAGCATCCCATGTGCCCCGCTCCCCCAAGCCCTGCCAGGAGTGATCCCTGAGCATGGAGCCAGGAGTAAACCCTGAGCACAGCTGAATGTGCCCTCCCCCCAACTCCCCTCCAAAAAAAAAAAAAACAAGCAAACAAAAATCACCACAAATTGAACATTGAATACTTGACAAGAACCAGTCCCTGGCTTTCCCAAGGCAGGAGTCTCTACGCGGCTGGGTTCCAGATGCCACGAGCTTCTCTTTCAAGTTTGCCTTGCCAGACTTTTCTAGACAAAAGAAGAAACTGAAAGAGAAATAATGCCTTAAGGTCTATTCCTGACCAGCATGCTTTTCTTTCTTCCTTTTCCTTTTCTTTTCTATGTTCTTTGATTCACTCCCAGCAGGGTTCAGGGGACTCCTTGCCTCAGTGCTCTGGGGACCATGCAATAATAGGGAACGATCTGGGCCCCCCTCCCTGTCCCTTCCTCAGCACACCCCCTTGAAGTCTGGTCCCACACACTTGTGCGACTTCTCTGACACTTCCTGGAGCTCCCCTGAAGTTCATGAAGTGCCCAGTGAACTGGTGTGACCGTCCCAGAGGACCCCAGTTCTAAGTCCATTCGTACACCCCCCCGAAAATTCCTCTGGCAGGGGCTTTTGTTGAATGTGGGGGTGGGGGGTGAGCAGGGTTTCTCAAGCTGACTAAGCATCAGAATCTTCCAGAAAGCTTTCTTTTGTTTTTTGTTTGGGGGCCACACCCAGCGGTGCTCTGGGATCACTCCTGGAGGAACTTGGGGTAACTATATGTGGTGCTGGGGATCAAGCTAGGCTAGTTACATACAAGGCACGTAACCCCTGTACTATCCCTCCAGCCTTTTCTAGAAGCAGTGCACTGTAGCACTGTCCTCCTGTTGTTCATCGATTTGCTCAAGTGGGCCCAGTAACGTCTCCATGGTGAGACTTGTTGCTACTGTGTTTGGCTTATCAAATACATCACGGGGAACTTGCCAGGCTCTGGCATGCAGGCGAGATACTCTCGGTGGCTTGCCGGGCTCTTTGAAAGGGGCGGAGGAATCGAACCCGGAGCGACCCGAGGTGGGATCCTGAGGCCTCTCCGTCTTAATTATCACTGGATTATGTACAAAGGTGATCATTTAAACCTTACATGACTTTTTTTTTTTTAAATCATGGCCACTTGGGGCTGGAGCAATAGCACAGCGGGTAGGGCGTTTGCCTTGCACACAGTCAACACGGGTTCGATTCCCAGCATCCTATATGGTCCCCTGAGCACCATCAGGGGTAATTCCTGAGTGCAGAGCCAGGAGTAACCCCTGTGCATCGCCAGGTGTGATCCAAAAAGCCAAAAATAAAAATAAAATGAAATAAAATAAAACCATGGCCACTTTCAGAAAGTAATGCACTTACCAGAATGAACTAGATTTTAGACACAAAGATTTTAATACAAAGCGGATATTATACAACCTGCTCTTCAGGTCTTTAAAAATGTGTCTCCCAGTCCACGTCCAGCAAACCGGGGTGATGGCAGGAAGGCGGAGGGGGGTGTGTGTGTGATGGATACTGATTTTAAAAAACCCCTAAAGTCCAAAGAGATCATGAAGGGGTTAAGGGGTTAAGGTTCAACCTTTAACGACGTGTTAGTAATCTCTTATACGGCTTAATGGCTTCCGAGTGAAATATAACAATCTTCACACACTTTCCTCTAAGAAACCATTTTGTCTCATTTTTTAGTGGATTTTTCATAACAAGCAATACAACACCAATTATTTTGGTTCTGCTTTGTCATCGAGGGACCGTCTCCATCACCACGAGGGCAACCCAGACTTTGCTCCTCCCCCGAGACACATCTTCATCTCTGCCTCCCTCAACTTCCTCCCAAGCACCTGGACGAGAGTATTCGATATGCCAGACACAGTAACAACAAAGTCTCCAATGGAGACGTTACTGGGCCCGCTCGAGCAAATCGACGATCAACGGGAGGGCCTTTACCTTACCTTTGTGGGGCAGGGTTTGGGGTTCAGGATGGAAATATGGTGGTGGGAAGCTGTAATAGTGGTGGGATTGGTGTCTGAATATTAAATGTAATCAAATATTGTGAACACTGTCCTCCTCTCGTTGTTCATCGAGATTTGCTCGAGCAGGCACCAGTAACGTCTCCATTGTGAGACTTGTTGTTACTGTTTTTGGCATATTGAATACACCACGAGGAGCTTGCCAGGCTCTGCCATGCGGGTGGAATACTCTCGGTAGCTTGCCGGGTTCTCCCAGAGGGATGGAGGAATCGAACCCAGGGGTTAAGGTGCTCGCCTTGCACACAGCCCACCCCTGTTCAATCCTGGCACCCCATATGGTCTCCCAACCCTTACCAGGAGTGATCCCTGAGCACAGAGCCAGGAGGAAGCCCTGAGCATCACCAGGTGTGGTCCCCGACACAAAAACAGACAGACCTAGATTGTGGGAGTGGGCGCTACTGATGCTGGGGGTCAGATACTCAGCGGGGAGTGTGTGCCCTCTGCACTAGGGACTGCACAGCACAGCTGGACACTCCCCACTGGATACCAGATGTATCCAAGCTGTGGATGACACCAAAGCTTGCCTGCAAACATTGCCCCATGGCTACAGCAGGCAGAGACCTCCCACCCTGAAACGCGGCCTGGCATTCTGTAACCACACATCTTGTACTCCAGACAAGGGTTTTGGCGCTGGGCTTCCGCTACCCCAATCTGCCTCCTGGCCCCAGGCCCCTGCAGTCAGCCTCTGCTGCCTCCTCTTCCCCCAGCCCCGCTGAGGCTTTGGGCTAAGAGAGACCAGAACTCCACCAGACTGGGGGGAGTGCGAGGTCGTGCTGGGTAACCCCTCCTGCAGCCCAGCAGCCCAGCAGCCCAGCCCTGCCCTACAGGACCCCCCCCTTCCCCTGACTGCTGCCGCAGTGCCTTCTCTCCGCTCACAAACCATCTTCCTCCTTGGCAGAAGGAAACTGCTCCTACTTCAGGCACTTGAACCCCGGCGAGAGCCTGGAGAGCTTCCAAGCTCAGAAAGGTGAGCGGGTGGAAGGGTGCTGTGCCAGGTGAAGATCACTGGGCACAGAGGCGCCGCCTTCCCATGGGGGTGGGCGATAGGGACCAGCTCTAGGGCCTTGGAAGCGTGTGGGGACATTGCAGGCGCCGCCGTGGGGCAGAAGGAAAGTCCCCCCTACATACACACCCAGAGCCAGGGACCTGCTCCAGAGGGGCCTGGACAAGAGCTCCGAGTCCCTGCCATGGAAAGTCCTACCCTGTCAGAATGGCAAGAGCCCAGAACACCAGAGGCTGGGGCCACAGACGTACCCCACTACCTGTGTAGGGCTGAGTGCAGGCATGGGCCTGCATGTGTACACGCACATGCGTGCACACGGAGAAAGCCATGTATCATGTGCACACATGCACATCCAGATCCTGCATGCATCACTAGTACAGAGATCCCACAAGAATCACACACAGAGATCCCTGCATGTATCACACGTGCTCAGAGAACAACTCCATGTGTATCATACATACACACATGCACACAGAGATCACACACACGTACAGGCACTCAGAGATCACCCACATGCATCACACATACACAGACACAAACAGCTTCCCAAGTGTGTCACATCAGGCAGACAGACCCCCAGCCCCTTCCCCTGCACATCTGTCCTGTGTCCAGACATAGGCCCCCTACTTGCTTCCAGCATCTTCCTTCAGGGACCATTTCCATATCCTGCACAGGATCCCCTGGGGGGTGAACATCCTGTCCCAGCCTATAACCTGGGGGCTTCATCTCCCAGAGCCTCAGTTTCCTCACTGTGGAAATAAAAATGTCTTTCCCCTGGCCAGAGGCAAAGCAGCCGGAGATCTGAATCCGCTGGTGTGGTGAGGAATTGTCCCTCGCTACACTATAAATGACAGCATGCTGTAGATCACAGCCCCTTGGTTTGCTGTGCTCACACCCTCTAGATCGATTGCAGATTATCGTCTCTTGGAATATTGTGGATTATGGTCCCTCAGTGTTCTGTAGGTCACAGCCCCTTCCTGTGTTCTAGATCATGGCCTTTCCTGAGTTCTAGGTTACAGCCCCTTCCTTCCTGTGTTCTGGAAGGTCACAGTCCCTTCCTTTCTGTGTTCTAGGTCACAACCTTTCCTGTGTTCTAGGTTATAGCCCTTTCCTGTATTCCAGATCACAGCCCCTTCATCTCTGTGTTCTAGATTACAGCCCTTACTGTATTCTAGGTTACAGTCTTTCTTGTGTTCTAGATCACAGCTCCTTCCTTCCTTCCTTCCTTCCTTCCTTCCTTCCTTCCTTCCTTCCTTCCTTCCTTCCTTCCTGTGTTCTAGATCACACCCCTCCCTACGTTCTAGGCTACAGCCCCCTCCTGTGTTCTAGGTCACAGCGCCTCTGTCCCTGTGTTCTAGGTCATAGCCCGTCCTGTGTTCTAGGATATAGCGATACAGCCCCTTTCTGTGTTCTAGGTCACTGCCCCTCCACCCCTTTGTTCTAGATCACAGTCCTTCCTGGGTTACAGCCTCATCTTTCCTATGTTCTAGATCACAATCCTTCCTATATTCTAAGCCACAGTCTCTGGCATGTTCTAGATGACAGCTCTTCCTGTGTTTTAGGCTGTAGTTCCCTAGTGTGCTATAGGCCACAGTTCCTGCTATGTTCTAGACCACAGTTCTCCCAGTGCTCTAGGTTATATTCCCTGTGTTGTATGTTCCAGCCCTGGTGTGTTCTAGACCACAGCTCTTCCCCTGTCTTCTAGGTTATATCCCAGTGTGCTGTAGGTCACAGTTCCTCCCTGTGTTCTAGATTATAGTGTCTCTGCGGCCGCCGTCTCCATCTTCAGCCTGGGCTTCGTCATCATGGGGACCATCTGCGTGTTCCTGTCCTTCAGGAAGAGGCGGGACTACCTGCTCAGGCCTGCATCCATGTTCTACGTATTTGCAGGCACAAAGGGCTCCTACCTTCCAGCGGGGGCTGGGGAGTGATGTTCTGGGGTTCACTGCTCTCCCATCCTCACACCTACTTGGGGACCTGAGCCCCAGGAAAATGCCAGGTTCCCGAGAGGAGCACACTTGATGAGTACCTTGGAGTGCCCAGTGTGGGGAGGGGCGAAAATCACTAACACAAATTCACATGAACTCAGGGGTGGAGGGATAGTACGGCAGGTAGGCCACTTGCCTGTGTGGGTTCGATCCCCAGTACCCCGATCACTGCCAGGAGTAATTCCTGAGTGAAGAACCCCTGAGTATCATCAGGTGTGATGCCCCTCACTCTCCCGCCCTATTCCCCAAATTACATGAACTCAGAAGGACAGTGGCCAGGGCAGGAAGGAGCTGTCCCTCCAAGGGACACGGGTTCCTGGTTAGAAACTGAGGGTTGGACAATTTGGCTCCCAGCCTGGGTCCCCACCTTCTCTCACGCTGTCCAACTACAGCAGGCTGGGAGGCGGTGGGGGGGGGGGTTAGCACATGGGGTCCCTGAGACTCTGGTGGGCCCCCCAGGTCTCTGCGTCTTCGTCTCGGTGGAGGTGATGCGGCAGTCAGTGACACGCGTGGCCAGCAGTGTGGACGCTGCCGGGACCCGGATCCAGTACAGCTACTCCTGGTCCTTCGCCTGCGCCTGCGCCTCCTGCGTCCTCCTGGCCCTGGGCGGCCTGGTGCTCCTGCTCACCTCCCTGCCACGCCTGCCCCGAAACCCCTGGGAGTCCTGCATGGATGCCGAGCTCGAAAACTAGCCCAGAATGTTTCAGAAAGGAGGCGGGTGGTTTCCCTCTGGGCTTTTCCTGTCTGCTCCACCCATGACAGCTCCTGGGGCCCAGAGGCTGAGAAAAGAAGGAGGCAGGCACAGCTGGGACTGTCCCCAGGTGCCGCAGGCCTTGCCCGCCAGCTATCTGTCCTCGGAGCTCCCCAGAATGCCCAGGTCCCCATCCTGCATCTCCTTCCTGGTGGGGCCGGAGTGATAGCACAGCGGCTAGGGCGTTTGCCTTGCATGTGGCTGACCCAGGTTCGATCCCCGGCATCCCATATAGTCCCCTGACATTACACCGCCAGGAATAATTCCGGAGTGCAGAGCCGGAGCATCACTAGGTATGACCCAAAAAGAAAAAAAAAAAAGAGGCCCTCATTCTGTGCCAGCCTCTCCGCCCGCTTTGGCACAGGAGCGGTCGGGGAGCACCCCTACCCGGATGGCCTCGGGCTGAGCTTTGAAATAAAAGTTCCGGGAAAATGGGTATGTTCCTTGCATCTTAGACGGAAATTGCTGGGTTACTGCTGGAGCAGCGGGGACGGGAGGATGGACAGCCGGTCGCAGGGGGCAGTCCTGGTTCCGGCAAGGATCCCGGGGCCCTGGTTTTTCTGGGGGGACAATCCAGAGACTAAGGGTGTCTGTCCCAGATAAAGCGTTGGGATTCTCCTGCCGGGCACCCCAACACCAACAGGGCCCAGAAGCTGGTGCCTGATGCTGGGGGGAGGGCGGGGCCCCCCGCAGCCTTAGTAAACATGGAAACTGCCTGGAGGGAGTGACCCACACTCTTCTGCGCCCCTCAAGCCCTGCCACCCTCACTCAGCCCGCAGGAGCAGGAAGTCAGGGGCCTGAGGCCCCAGGTGCGATCCCTGATCCTGCAGCGAGTATGATCCGCCCCCCCCCCCACCCTGCCCCATCCTTTGTCCTGTGTCCCCTCCCCAGGCCAAGGTCGGCCTTCTCCACTCTCGGCTGCATCTTAAAGATGATTATTTTTTAAATATATTAAAATAAAAATAAAAAAATAAAAATATTATAGGGGCTGCGCGCAGCAGTGCTGGGTGCCTGGAGGTGCTGGGGGAGCGGGGGGGTCTAGGCAGTACTGAGAGGGAGCCTGGAACCCCAGTCATTCAAAGCACATGCTCCACTTTTTGGCTTTTTTGAAAAGGAAGGACACTAGAAAATCACCCCAAATTCCCAAGTCAGTGTCAGGAATCCTTTACAGGAAGAACAGACTTGGGCAGTCACTAAGTGGTAAGAGTCAGATGGTGAACGCCAGGCTGCAGCACCCACCGCAACCTGACTTGCCTCCACACTGAGTACCTGCTGTGGACGGAGGTCTGGGGGTCTGGGGGTGGGGGGCGGGGGCATTGTGGTCCAGGAGGTGGTTTCAGAGATGGGGTTGGGTTGGGGGGAGGTTCTGGTCTGTGAGGAACCTGGGCGGGGGGCTTCCTCCTCTAGTAGGGCGGGAAGGGCCCGACCGTGGGGCGGGTGTGGGGTACCTTCTCCTGTTCGTGTTTCATGTTCTTCACACAGACATACCCAAAGCAAGCCTCCAGGTCCTTCTAGCCCCTGAGCTGCTCAGGTGTGTTTCCCATATAGGGGATGCAGGGATCTCTGGAGCTGACCCACCCAGATCCCACTCCCTGTGTCCTGGGTAATGAGAACTTGCCGTGAGCCCAGTCAGGAAGGAATAGGATCCGGGCTCCCTCCTTCCCACCAGCTTGACAAAGGCCACAAACATCTGGATTCCCAGAACATGGCGCCCCGAACACCTGGGGCTGGAAAAATGGGCATGGGACAGGCTGATCCACTACATCCCTGGCCCCCTGCACTCCCAGTTTCTCCCATGCACGAAGGAGGCAGACCCTTACGGATGAAGGCGAACATTTCTGAGGCAAGTCCCCCTGGTCCTGTGAGGCTGAAGTGGAGTCATGACAGGCTCCCCTTTAAGACCTAAACTCAGCAGGCCTAAGTCTCGGTTTCCCCCATCAGAAAGTCCCGACTTCTCAGAAAACAATATCACCCTGGGCAGATAAACTGTCTCGTAGCAGCAGCCTATTGGAATAGGGGGCATGGGCAGTGGCACCCAGCCAAGCAGAGAGGGCTGAGGGAGTGGAGTCATAGGACCAGACAGGGACCAAGAATTGGAAACATAGTGCTGGTCCCTGGTGTCACGGGATGGACAGGGACCAGAATTGGAAACATATTGCCAGTTCCGGGCTAGAGCGATAGCACAGCGGTAGGGCGTTTGCCTTGCACACATGGCCAACATGGCCGACCCAAGTTCGATTCCTCTGCCTCTCTCGGAGAGCCTGGCAAGCTACCGAGAGTATCTCGCCCGCACGGCAGAGCCTGGCAAGCTACCCATCACATATTCAATATGCCAAACACAGTAACAACAAAGTCTCCAATGGAGACGTTACTGGGCCCCCTCGAGCAAATCGATGAACAATGGGAGGACAGTATTACAGTATTGCCAGTTCCTAGAAAAAATGCTGTTATGCAACCAAACCCTATATAAGCTGCTTAGTATTCAGAGTCGGGGTCCTTGTCAAGACTCCACAGTGTTGGATGAGACTCGGACCCTAGCTCGAGCTAGCCATAAAGGCATTTTTCATTTGCAGCCTCATGTCTGGTCTGGTCAACGTGTGAGCGAAACTCCCTTCCCGGGACATAACAGTCCTTCCCAGGGAGAGCCCTCGGCTCACATTCGGGTTCAGCTACGCAACAAGCAACAGCAACGCCCCCCACCCCCCCTGCCCCCCCATCTCGCCTGGTCACCTTTACAGGGCGGCCCTGAGGAGGAGTCTCCTTCCCAGCTCAGCAGCCTTTCCCGGGGCTCTGCAGAGCCTGAGTTTTAATGAGCCGGGAGGAGGCTCGTGCCTGAGAAGGAACAGGCTGCAGCTTCTCTTCAACTTAATTACCTCCCTCGGTGGGTTTAAAATCAGCCAGAGCTTCAGACAAAGGGGAACGTTATCACTTTGCCCAAATGCCGCAGGTACGAGCCTCCGGAGCAGGAGAGAGATGCTCAGGGCGGGAGCATCCGTCAAAGCCAGCGTCACCATGGTGAACTGTCAAATGCCGGCTGGGAACCAGGAGGCCGGGAAGGCACCAACTAGGCCCGAATACTAAACGCTGTGAAGCTGCTCCGTGATTGGGGCGGGGGGGGGGGGCAGGGGGAGAGGGGCATGCGTTAAGGTCACCTCCCGTGTGGACCCTATGAGCCAGCTCTGGGCAGAGGCCTGCAGGAATCAAAGGCGCGGGGCCTCCGCCTCTGCTGCCTGGCAGCTCGCAAGCTCCTCTGAACAGGAGACAAACCGGTGACGGAGGTGGAAGGTTGAATCATAGTTACTGAGAAGGGGGCGTGGATGTGGGGGGCAACCGGTCCTAGCCGTGGAGTATGGAAGGTGGAATTTAGTTTTGAATAATAAGAAGAAACCGCCCCCCGCCCCCAAGCAGACTGGAGGTTGGGATCTGAGGGCTGGGGGGGGACACTGGGCGGGGGGGAGGGGCACCTTCCCGGAAGGGCTGAGTGATCAGTTTGCCAGGTGCAAAGTGCAGGGGTGAGACGTGAGGCCAGGGGTGCCCCCAAAGTCCCAGGAAAGAATTTCAGAATGTTACTGGAAAGCACCGAGGGTTTCTCTGAGAGGACTCCTGCTGGTCTGCTCCAACAAGACCCAGGGGTGAAGTGGCAGCGCCCACTGAGCCGCGATCACGGGTTGAGGTGGGGGGGTTTGGCTGAACCACGCTCAGGACTCGGCCGTCCCTTCCACAGGCCACATTTCCACCTTCACGCAGCATCTCTGAGATCACAAGTTCCCACCTTGAAGTTTGAATGACACCTTCCCACCTTCATGCTAATGCCCTTTTCAGAGAAATACGAGTGCCAGCCCGGCAGTCCCCTCGGAGAGTCTGTGCTGCAGCCCCCGACAGGGCATCAAGAGTGGCCCTAAGGGCTGGAGCAGTAGAACAGCAGGTAGGACACGGTAGAACAGCAGGTAGGACAGCCCAGGTTCGATTCCCAGCATCCCATATGGTCCCCCGAGCACCACCAGGAGTAATTCCTGAGTGCAGAGCCAGGAGTAACCCTTCTGCATTGCCGGGTGTGACCAAAAAAGAAAAACAACAACAACAAAAAAAAATAGCAGCTCTAAGGAGTCCTCTCCAACCTGCTCTTTGCAAAGTATTAGTGGGGCTAGACCCGGCAATGCTGGGTCATCCTGCCCTGTGTTTGAGGTGGGGACTGCTTCTGACCATCTGGGGCCCGGGGCCAAACCTGAACCATAGCTCTTGGCCTTCAATCCCTCTGAGGAAATGCTCTCTGTTCCCAAACCAAACAACTCCAAGAAAGCTGGATGCCTCATTTGCAAACAGTCGCTGCGAAGAGGAACCCACCCCCCCCACCCCCGCCCCACGTGCTTCCTGGGAAAGTGGACATCCCAGGTACTTACATCTGCAAGTGCAAGTGCAATGGCTTGGTTGGGCTTATGATGGCATGTCATCAGGATATTTAGCACGAGAGGAAGGGCTCATGGCACCTCCTGACCTCCTGGAGCCTGCAAGAGGGTGGGGGGTCCCATGTCACACCATGGCAGACACAGAGGATCATTTCTCCCACAGACCCCAGGGCCTGGTTCTGGGCAATTTTCTGCACAGCCAGACTTTGGGGACAGAGGAGCCTGGGGAGGGCTGGGCGGGAGATGGCTGAATGGCCCCACGGTGAAGCAAACTACTCTAAGCTAGGTTTATGAGCCCTGAAGATCTTCTGAACCGAGAGGCCTGACCAGCCTCGGCATTCGTATTTTTTAAGACCTGTGTTGAACGACAATTGCAAAGGGCCCATTTCCTTACCTGCCAAAGACCTTTACAGGCTCAGAGAGAATACTTTGGGCCTTTGCGGCTGCCTACATCTGTATAGGCAAGCTGGAAATTTCTGGAAATGGAGTCATGATGTTACCCACAAACAGAAGTCCTTTACCATAAATCTCCTCT